CACACAGTGCCCCTTATAGCTGCCATTAGGTTGTTCCCCCCCCCCCATAGGTTGGTGCCCAGCTAGCCCATGCCATAATCCGGCCCTGTTCCCATGCATATCCATATCATAATTCCCCCACAAGTTTTCACCACCAAGTGGAAGGGGGCTTTCTTTAGCAGCCGGTCAGGTTTATCCCTCTTGACTTTGGCTCCTTGCCCTTGGCCATGGTTAGCCTTGATTCAGCTAAAACCTTGGTCTTCCCACACCCCGGACACGTTTTCCTCCATCCTTAAAAAACAAACTCCAAGAGCATAGATGATGTAGTGGTCAAGATGCAAGGCTTGGACAACTAGGTGTAATTCCCTGCCACCAGGCTCCCTGTGTGTCCTTGGACAAATGGCTGAAGGGCAGAGTTAAGGATATTTAGGTACTTTTACCACCACCACCCCCATACCTATGTGCATACCTTTAAGGCTCTAGCCCAGGAATGGGGAACTTTTTGGGTCAGGGACCACTGAACCACAGAAGAAGAACACGAACACACACACCGATCAGTCTGGGGCCACACACAAGTGACATGGCCCCCAACTGAGAAGGAGAAGGTGGAGAGTGTCTCACACCAGAGCCTGGGGGGGGCCTCAGCCTAGTAGACTGTGGGCTTCAGCCCCATGGGGGAGCAGTAGGGGAGCTGGAGCACCAGCACAGGCTCCCCAGTACTGAGTGGGACCTGAGCCTTGGGGGCCAGATCCAGGCAAGCCGGGGGCTGCATCCAGCCCGCGCCGGAGATTCCCCAACCCCGCCTCTAGCCTTATCTTTGTGCTTCTGTTCCCCACCCATACCGTGGGGGGAGGGAAGGAAAAACAGGCCTACTTTCCCAGAGCTGTTGCTAGGCCTAGCCTCAGGCTTGCAAGGCACTCCACTACCAGGCTAGCGGGGGATCATAAATACCTTGGAGATCATGCCACAAATCTTTGGAGCCAAGCTGGCAGATAAACTGATCCTCCTCTCCGAGGAATGCTCAGCCTTCTCCATCCCTTCTGGCTGTTGAACTCCCTCCTGGCTGGTGCTATCACCCAGCCAAGAGGCAGCCTGGCACAGCACGCATCAGCGGTAGGTACCCAGCTTTTCTATAGCTGCATTTGGGGTGTTTCCCCAGCCACTGTCACCTCAAACCGATTGCAACCTAGTGCTGTTTGCCATGGGCACTGCTACAATACCCCACTGCAGGAGGAGGCATCTGGGTGGTCTTAAACAACCCAAAGAGCTTACGCTAGCATGGAAAGTGGGTGGAGACAGCAGCACCGCATGGGTCACCTATGCCAGGCAGATATCGCTAGGTTCTCAGCAAAGCGACCCCTTGCCAGCTAGCTGAACAGGAGAGGAGTCCCACAAAAGCAGCTGTATTCCCGTGACATCCTCCAACCCCCTTGGTCATCATGGCAGAGCAGATTCTGGCTGTAGCTGCATGATACAGCGCGCGCCACGACACAGCCAGCTGCATCCCAAGCAGGTTGTGCCTGGATCCTCAGGAGGACTACTGCAATTTGCTAGTTCGTAGACTGTTGGGGAACCAAGCAGTTCTGCTTGCCTGCCCTAGAACACGCCTTGAGAAGAAGCATCCACTCAAGTCAGTTAGCCAGGCTGGGGATCAGTGTTCCCTCTAAGATTTTCCAACCATGAGCGGACTGAGTTTTGGCTTGTGCACCAATATGGAGGTCACATGGGCTGGGCTGGAGGTGGGTCACCATGGCACCCAATTTATTAACACACATTCCCCGGAGCAGACCTGCAGCCTCCCAGCCAGGTGGCATGTCCCATTCCTAGCCGCCAGAGTAGACACCCTCTGTCATGCTGCAGGTCCCGTTGCTGGCCCCCGCCACATGGTGGCCCCAGCTACATGGCCATGGCAGGTCCTGGCCTCCCACCCCAGTGGCTCCCTCACCACCTTGCCTCAGCCAGCCCTGCCCTCCAGAGCAGCCGCCTGCTGTGGGCGACTCTCCAGAGGAGGTGGGTGGGGGAAGAATTTGTTGTGCACGGCCATGCAGGCACGGGCACCTTAGCGGGAACTATGCTGGTGGTGTTGTTGACAGGCCCTATGCAGGACAGGGAGCGGCTGGGCTCCAGGGACCACAGAAAGGGGCGGGGACTGAGGTCAGCCAGCACCACCCGGACTGTGGCCCATGGGGCTCCATCAGCAACTCAAAGGACCCAGAGACCCAGGCCTTTTTGAAAACTGCTGCCTCTGACTGACAAGGGCAAGCGGCTATATAGCTCCCCTAAGCACAGCTGAGTATATAGCACCACCACTAGCATCATTAGCCCTTACTAAAGCTGCAATAAAGCATTAGTATGTCCCTGTGAGACTACTGCAGAGACCACACACCCC